GATACCAACTGTAAATTAAGCAGTTTGGAAGACAGGCAGTCTTAAAAATGTGCCGGTGTGCTAGAAATCGAAAATATGTTACAAGAAAAATCAATTCTACGATAAAGACTGTATATGAGAAGAGAACCCGCTGAATCCTGAAGTGAAAATTGTATGGGAAGAACAGAATTGTAACATAGGTGTGGTGAAAATACTTGCTTATACCGTTGATATCGTAGATTGGACGCAGCCGGAAGTCTGGAACTGGATAGAAAGGAATGAAAGATGTTGATCATGTTCAGAACGCTGCATCCTAAAGCAAATACAGGGCAGACTATATGTTCTACGCAAATGAAGAGGAAGAGTGCTTCCTAGTATCAACCGTACGCTGAAAGTAGGGACCTCATCCTCAAAGTGTCTGACAGGCAGTGAACGACAGGCTGCTGACGGCTGTAAAGATTACGGCCTGCCACTACAACTGCAAACAGATATAAATGCAGAAAATTATAAGGCAAATCTACAGACTGCCCGATAGAACAGTTGGACGATTAAATAACTTCGTGAACACTATCTTCGCTAACTCAACGAAAACATCGACACTGACCAGAGTTTAAACTTGGTTTCAAAAAGTAGACTCCAAGACGAAACAGAAGCCCTTCTAACAGCCGCCCAAGATTAACAACGTTGCAAGGATAGTCCACTGACTTTGTGCAAGCGAACTGACTTATCAATGGCAAAGCAGTGATGGAAAAATCAGTCGAAAGCGGTGGAAAGAACTGAGCCATTGAAAATACTCTGAAACTTCCCGGTTCGAACTGGGAATATCCGTTCATCGTCCGGATATCGAGTTGGTAGACGAAGCGAAAGGGTTGGCACAAATCACTGATATGGCACGCCAGGCTGACTGCATAGCTGATCGTTAATTGGAGAGAAAAGGAAGGTACTGAAATATCAAGAATTGAAAATGAAAGCACAAAAGATCTGGAGAGTTTAGGCGGAAGTTATTCATGTAGTAACAAAAACGGAGTAATGTTGAAAAGCAAGGAAATATAACACGGTTATTGCATATAATAAGTAGTTATAAGCAAAGTAGCTAAAGGTAGCTTATCCCATTGTTACCAATTTCCGATTTTGTAGATGGAGACGCCAGTAGTTGACATATTCTATTTGGAGACTGCCATTTGGATTGTCCTTCAGACCGCTGATTGTTAGGTTGGTATCAGTTCATTGTTAAGACGTAGCGGTGGAAGGAGTTACATTTGATGTCAGTGTATTTGATCGTTCTTGTTCTCACCTGTGGTCATGATGCGGAATAGTGGCCAAAAGAGTGTGACCAAGTGTACAGGTGGCAAAAATGAGATTCCGTTGTGAGACTGGTGGAATGTCGAGGCTAATAGGACTTTACAGACATGGCAGTCTGAGATGCTATCGTTTGCTGAGACTTATTCAGCTCGAGAGATTGCATTTACGATCATTTGGTCGTATGTGCCAGAAGAAAAAGGACTCGCAAAATGGTATTTGTTCCGTTTCCTTTAAGTTGGAGACTCTTAAATTGATTGATAGACGACCAGAATTCTTTGGTTTACTGAACATTTGGCATAATCTGCTCGACTGGCAGGGACTCAACTCATTTGAATAATTGTCTGAAGTTTTGAAACGTTGCCTGCTCTAGCGGCAGCTTCAGGCGACACCTCAGAATTAGTTGAATTTTATGTTACTTGATTCGTTCAGCTTCAAATTTGCAACCTGTCTTCATTTTCTTGCTTTTGGTTATCTATACAAAGCGCTTGATTCAGGATGCTGAATGAAGTTCAGTGCTAAACAGCAACTTCATGGCTTGAAGTGCGTTTCTCTTGATTCATGCTACACTGGTGCAATTCTAGGCGTTGCTGCAATAAATTGAAATGAAGAATGATTGCTTTTTGCTTGAATAAGAATTCGATTCAGATCATGGTTTAGAAGTTCATGTGAAAGAAGTAAAATTTTATGACGGAGGTTATATGACAGTGTTATATTTTCATGATATAGTCTTATTGTACCGTATAGCCATCGTAAACTGTTCGTATCACCGAGCATGCCAAATATCGAATGATTGCTCCAAGAACAGGTTTTGCGACGTATTTCACCGCCCCTTTGCTCTTAGCTACACAGGAGGTCATTTAGGCAGGCAACGGCTCTATGGTATTTGAGCACTTGAAGTACCAGATGCATCTCATCATTCTCTCTGCTAGAGCTGCTTCGTGCTCATCACGGACGACGTTTTAAGAGCTGGTTCTCCTTATATGCTACCGCGTAAGCATCGTAAGTTGTTCGTACGTTAGAGTATGTCAAATGGCGAATGACTACTCCAAGACGAATTTTTAAGCCAGGCAAGGTACTGTAGGTGTTAAGGTACCATGAAGCTCTGACCTGCTTAAATAGCCCTCTCCCTGGCAATTAGGAACAAGGAGCGGTGCCACGTGCCTTAAAATCTGGTCGTGGATGAGTCATTCGTTATTTGACGTACTTGGGCGTGCGAACAAGTGGGCGTTTATTTTGCAGCGTATAAGGAGTACCAACTGCTAAAACATCGCGCGTGATGAGCGCGGTTGCTCTAGTGAACAAAATGCATTTTGCATTGTCGGCTCTCAGATACCATAGAGCAATAACGTGCTTAAATTCACATCCCTCCCCCGTAGGCAACTTAATTGCAAAAGACGGTGGAATGCGCCGTTAAGTCTGGTCTTGGGGGATTCATTCGTTATGTCCTATGCGCAATCGAAAGTGTACTGAATTACACGTCACATTTCTGGAACGGACAAAATGGCTTGTTTGTTAAGGTTTACGTTACAGATGAGGTCGTTAAGTAGAGGTTTTGCATGTACAAAACGTCGGGTACTTTGCAAATAATGAAATATTGTTGAGTGCACTGCTGATACTGGAACTGCTGAAATAAAACGAACACTCATTTTCAGAGGTTGCCTCGTTCTGTATGAAAATTGATTCCCTCTAAACAGTTAATCTTTAAAGCTGTTTTATTCCGCGTCAGCTAATTAGGCTGCGAATACAAAAGCCACATTGCAAGGAACCGTAATGTTGTCTTCTCCTGGATACTCGGTTCATTATTGTTGTTCTTAAATCGGCTTGTAGTTTTCATATAAGTTATTGTGAGGAATCAAAGCAGGTTCGTTTGACTAATTACGATTAAATACATTAAGATTTGTTTGCTTTTGTGATCAACAAGTCGTTGGACGTAATACTGAGGTCAGGGTTACAATGCTGTGTAAAGGCCATCTATGATGTTTCGCTGTTGTAGATTACGTCAGCGACAGGATCAGTGAGCGCTAATGTGGCAAAGATACTGGCATTGCTGTTCACTGTTCTGCTGGTGTCGATCGCGCTGGTTTTGTTGTCAATCGTGATCGGCTCGAAGCTTGGCATCAATACTGGTGCTTTCCTCGCTGCGGAGGTGACTGTTCGCTCTTAATGGTGTTTCTAGATTATTATGATTTATTTTGTCATGTTAGTGTCTGACGCTTGTCTTCCGTTCCGTGCATGACATCGTTCGCTACTTATCCCACCTGTACCATGTTCAGTCAGACAACGTTTGGGCGAGTCGGTCAGCGTTCATGCACTACACCGATTTCGTGTTCGAACTACTCGTGTTGTTCACTGATTTTCTACATCATCTGCACATGCTGGTAGGAACTAGCCTCTGGCGCCGGAATAACCTAGCAGCAACATGTTCACTTTTATAGGTGTGGTGTAACATCTTCCTGAGCATGGCGTCGTTAATGATCTGCGTGCAACTGAAACATCTTTACATGGAGATCAGAAAAAATCTACGTCGTCATCAAAACTATATGCGAGTCGTGCGTTACATCAACGAAGAGTGAGTTTGCCCTGACTGATTTGCAGTTTTGCCGGTGCAGCTACGAAATGTGACCGCAGGCCACGGTTCTCAGCAGTCCATTAGGTTACTGTTTGCTATAATTTACCTACCGATGATCTGACAAGATAGAGTCAGAATTGTATGACAACATCTAGGTTTGGCAATAATTTTTGTATTGGACATGGATTTCAAGATTTCCATACCAGGAGTCAGAAATGAATCTTCTACTTCAGATTCCATCTATTCATTTCAATCCGTCTGCCCTCTGTAATCGGTTGTTACAGATCACTTATTTGGCCACGTGACTGGTTGACAACTAACGCGACGTTTTCGCGATGCCTTCGTGTCTCAGAATCGTTTACGCTTGCATTTGTATTAATATGGCACATGTCAACATGCAGGGTTGCGAACTGGCCAGTATGCACAGCCTCAACTTTAGACTGAAAGAATGCATGAATCATTGAAAGTGCAGTGCATGTACTTGTTCTGTATTGTTCTTACGTTGGTCGCTGTTTTGCGGGCCCTGCAAGTCAGTTAAACCGCGGTCTTTTTGTTTCAGAAGCTAAAGACAAAATGGTTTGTGTAACAGTTTAAACACGTTTACCAAACTGAAGACACTCCATCAGTTTCTTCTTTCATGTTCTAAGTCATTGATCTGTACTCCTCATGTAATGACACCAATCCAGATGGTCTCTTTGGTCTTACTTTCGTTTCGTCTGAACTTCATTG